CAAGTGTAGTTAGAAATCTTTAACTATAGAAATTTATTTTCTAATTAACCTTCTTAAAATTTACTAGTTCAAGTTGAGGGCTTTGGCAGCCTGGTTATAAATAGCTTATCTGTCCTCTTATCTGGATTTGTAAACTATAAGATGTAATAAAGTTTTTACTATAACATTATATTAATAAAAAAAAAAAAAGTTTTCTAAAAAAGTAATAATTCTATTCATGAATAAAACAATTAGTCAATTGGTTTGTTTTATTACTCTATTAAAATTCTATTGCCAAATTTAATAGAACAGAAATCAATCGAACTATTAGAAAACAGGTTGTAATTTAAAATAGCTTACATGAACCTTAAATCTTAATCTAATATAATTTAGCTTTTTTTATATTACTTAGATCTATAAATTATATTGTATTCTCATGTTTTATACCTGAATGCAAAAAAATTTTATTTTTTCTTAGTGCATGCTATATGATGTCTCTTCTTAATCAAAAGAAATATCCTGAAAAATAACCCTTTTTTAATTAAACAAAATAATAGTTTCTATAAATATTACATTATTAATAAAGGATTTTATTCACCAAATAATATATTATGTTATACTTTAGTACATTCTTCTAATGGGACTAAATATAAAATTCCAGATAACTATTTAGTTCAAACTAGATAAGAAAAAAGTAATTCAAAGTATATGATAGAATGCAAAATAAAATATGAGTTAATTGGTCTAATTTTTAGAATTAAATTTTAAGATAATATTGTAGAATTCAACGAATTTCCAAGTAATATTACTAACAAATATTTAATAGTCTGTTCAGTTTTGATAAAAATTTTTATTATAATATCTATTCTAACTTTTTTTATTTTTGTATAAAAAAAAAAATCCAAATAATACAGGTGCAAAAATATCTGGTATTCATGTATTTGGTTTTAATGTTCTAGACATAGAAAAAGAATATAAAAGAAAAAATCAATCATCTTATTTTAAACTATTTAATACATTGGGCGAATCTATAAAAGAGAAACATTTTTGTGCATTCTCTACATATTTAAGTGAAGCTTTTCAAAATAAGATTCCAAACTTTTTTAATTCAATTGATCAACCAATTCTCCAAGAAATTCGATTTCATATTCAAGATAAGGATTACTTGGCCAAATTTAATAATAAAAAAAATAGTTGTCTTAATGCATTTGTAAAAGCTATTGACCAAGGCCCAATTTTTCAGGATGCTTATCAAGATTTAGCTACACTTCAACCAGAATTGCTACAAGATCACAATGTTTTAAATGAAAAAAAAATAAATGAGGAAATGAATAAAAAAATTTATATTATTATTTTAAATACTAAGAATATATCTCTTATAATCACCAATGAAATTTCTCATATTAATAATCAAGAAATAAAAGAAGAAATATTACACTACATTGGAAAAGCCAGTTATAGATGAATTACAAACATTTTGCTTTACATAATTCCAGGTCTTATTAAAAAAACATTCTTAATATAAGGAATCTAGTAATTTATATTTGTATATTAGGTGAGATATCAAATATGTATTTTAAAACAAATGATGATTATAATCTGAATATATTCAAAATTTAATAATCATCTGTTTTAAATGAGTTCCGCAAAGAAAAAACCTGCAAATAAGATTTGCAGATTTTTTCCTTTTGTAGCACTCAGTTTAGTGGAAAGATATTTTAAATCGTTTTTTATTATTTCTAATTTTAGAAGACAGATACAATATGGGCAGAAAAATTAAGCATGTTATGGTCACGTATACTATTTTAGATAACATTTTAAACATTCACAAGGCCAACTCACACAATACAGTAATTCTATATCTGGGAGGTAAAAACTATGAAATACTGCACCAAGTAATGAAACTATTAATTAGTGAATTGCATAGTTTAACAGTGAATAAATTAGTAAACCCTAGTGGAATCCAATGGAAAGTCAATTTATACTTCAGTAGTAACTAGAAGTTTATAGCAATTGTACTAGGATTTAATGCGCCTAATGCTAACTATTTCTGTTCTTGGTGCTTATATACCAAGAAGAAATTAGCAATAAAGACAAGATATACAAAATCAAAAAAGACATGGACCAGCTTAAGAAAGAATTTTTTAATAATTATACTCCACTACCTGAACACATCAAACCTCCCCTTCTTCTAATGATACTATTATGTCATTATGTGCCTTATAAACTTTATATAATATTAAGAATTTGGGATTGACTTTGGAAGTTGGTGATTCAGAAATTAAAGACAGAAAATAGATACAACAATCATACCAGGGCAATTATAAATACAGAAATGAAAAAGATTTTGGTCAAATTTCAATTTTGGCAGGATCAGCAAAGTTGGTTTTATACACCTCTAATGGGAGGTAATAAAGAAAAGGTTTTGTGTGATTTTAATTTTTATGTCATTTTTAGTGATAAAAGATCTATATTAATTAGCCACTTGTGAGAAACTTTTATTCACTTTACAAGCTTATAAATGATCAAGAAACTGACTCAACTATTTTTGTTGCTCAGGCAAAAAATAGTTTAACCTATTTCTCACCCTCACCAAGGTAAACCAAACACCATATCTTTTAGAAAAGGGCTTTATCACCCCAAGAATGTTATACTATATATGCATATTCTGATTAATCATATTGCCAAATTCATAAAACTATATCAACGCTTTGGTTTTGTATCATTCTCATATAATGCTGTTGAAAAAAAAAATTATGACTAAGTATTCACTTTTTTCAGGAAACAATAAAGGACAGTGACAAAGACACAAATAGAAAGTCTGCAATTTTCAAAATTCTTAGTTATAAAAATCAGTCATTATACTTTAACCAAAATCTAACTTCTAATCGAGTCTATAAGCCTTGTTATCTTTATATTAAGGAAAATACAGAATTTTAATTTCATTTTGATATTACAAGTATCTCTTTACTAGTGTTATTAGCAGTTTTAACATATTGTATAGCTATTATAATATTTTACATGAAAATTTTGAAGCTATAATAAATTTTACTAAAATTTTGAAGTAACATAATATTGATATATATATCTTCTTTCTTGTTTCAACTTGAATTGAATGTATCACCAGTAGTATTATAAAAATATTATTCAAATATTTACTTTTTTCTTACAAATCGGGTTTATAACAAGTTATAAAATAATGAAGTGAAATAAATAGATCTTGAATTAAGTTTGGTAGCTATTACTAAACCTTTGCTTATCACAATACTCAATGACCAAATTGTTATTGGCAAAGCCTATTGTTATTAAGTGGTACATTTTTTAAAACTAATTGGTCACGTTGTCAGACCCAAACTAGCGAGTCTGTCACTGAACTGGTAGAAGGTTTGTATAATTACAAATTAGATTACTTGGTGTTGAAAAAAATGTGTTAGATTTAGTCAAGTGGTATAATTTCAGATTAGAACTTAGGCTCTATATAAGTTTAGTATTGGGCATAATAAAAGTGTTTTATCAAATGTTAAATTTGGTAAAGGAGTTTGTGATTTATTAAAAATGACTGATATAATTTATTTTAAAAAAATGTAAGATTTATAAGAAGTAGTTGTATAATTTATGAAGAGCAATTATATGATAAAAATGAAAACTAATTTGTATAATTAAATGATTAATAAAGCAAAGACAAAAGTTATTTTCTTTTCAGGGCCAAAAGGCCTTTATTTATAATAATTAATTCAGCTATTTATATTTAAAGAATCTTTTAGATCTTTATTATTATTATAATCAGTTTTATAACCACTATTATTAATATCATCAAAAAAGTTCAGATTATACAGATCCTTATAATAACCCAGATCAGTATTATTAAAATTATCAAAGAAATCAGAGTGATCAGGCTAATTATAGCAGAGAGCCCAAATTTGAAAATTTCAGAATCACAAAAGCACATGTCTGCTTCAGGTGGGTTTACAACGTCAAATATATTTTGTTAAAAAAAACTATATAATGATAAAAATTTTTGAAAAACCTACAATAATTACAGAGTATTTGGGTATAAACTTATTTTCTTTCATGAACTCTTTCCAATGATCACTTGGATCAAATTTTCCGACAAAAAGAAAAGTCTTTTTCGATACTGGAGAGTAGTAACCTGTAGTGAGGTGAATTCAACAGGGT